CGGGACCAATAGGCATCCACGCGTCAGCATTTCAGGTGCTGGGGTTTTTGTCTTTTTTTTGAAAGGGGGGGGGGGTTAGGGGGTTTTGGGGGGGGGGTTAATTTAGGTGTTTCATATATTGTGTTAGCTAGCTAATTAATACAGAGAAGTGTCCTCTTTTATCTCCGTGCTTGGTCAATGCTACGTACTATACGTATAGAGAAGACTAGACATGCTAGCTAGTAAGCAAATGAAGGAAACAGAAGATCGTCATGAACATATGCATACAGAGAGAAGTGATATCGACCACCTCTCCTTCTCTGAGAGATTGGTCGAACAACAAGTTCTCGTATATCTATCCGACGCTACTGGCTACATATATACAATATAAGTATCTCTTACAATGTAATCTCCTAACTAAAAACGAACTGATCAGGGTCCACATGGTATTCTTCGTCTTTAGCGATCACGTGGTCAAGAAAGAATGCCGCCAATTCCTCTTGAATTCCTCGCATACGATCTGGTGGTAGGAGTTTATCCCGCATCCGACATATCTAATTTGAAGAAGGTCAATACATATATATGAATAAATGAAACTGAACACAAATGATGGTAATAAATAAAATTGTGAATATTATTATTTACGCACTTCATATTGTTTGTCGGAGTAGCCCCGCTCACAGGTCGTGTGGCGCATGGACTCGCAAATGTAGTATCCATAGTAATTATTCTCTTGTTCCTGACACAACCACTTTACAAAAATAGAGGTCAATCAAACTGATAATTAGCAAGCATGCTAAATGGTATTGATGAAACTAGCGCTTGAACCACTAGGAGATGTGTGGAACATATATGCTACTATAGTACTTACTTTCGGGTGTCTAAATTGCAGCTTCTTCGGCAGTCCCGAAGTTTTTGAGGTGAATTTATTTCAAACCCTGCCAGACAAAAAAAAATTACTTGATATCAGGACAGGAACAAAGTTACCGATATGGTGCGATAATGATCGATTTAACTTACTTCTCTAGAATTGCAGTCATGTCCGCATACTCCTTGGGATCTTTTCGTGTCGAGTCTAAGACGGTTACTAGTCCCTGCTCAAGCTTAATCTCTAGGAGAATATGATGGAACCTGCGCATGCATGCATAACTCATCAATTACATTACTATAACCTCGACTAATAAGGGAAACCGAATATGCACAAGACAGTAACACTCACTTGAATTCGTATGGGAAGAGTATTATAGCTTTGTTTTGATTTAATACAAACGACTGTAGCAGCTTGGTCTCGGTATATTTGGCCTGAAATTTAACCATATATGCGTCTATGAGATTTGTGTTAATGAACCCAATATCACCGATTTGTCTTTTCTTCAATTCGGCGATCTTTAATCTGCATAATATAGTGAGGATAATTAAAAATACATGCAATGAAAGAGCTGACCTATATATAGAGACTTAATGACAGAAGTAGTACTACTTACAGGTAGTAGCAAGTGATCATTAACTTATCGAGGGCCTTTAGATTGAAAAACTCGAAGAACTCCTCAAATGGAACATTCAACAGTTCAATTCCAACGAGGTCATGCTCCTCTCTAACTCTTAGCGTCAAAATATTCCTCCCCTCAGACTCTCTGCAGGTTTTCATATACCAATCATGGAATCTTCGCATCATCATTGTTAGAGATCTTTCATCTTTGATGAGAGGCTTCCTGTACACGTATTTGTGTTCGTCCACCTCCAGGAAATCAAAATGTGCATCGTCGGGCAGGTAATCTCCAAGATCGATATAACCGGGCACCATTGTCCCGCCCGGATGATTCGCGAGGACGCTAGACACCTGGAGCGGGGGCAACGATTGGTTCGTTTGTTTGCCGAGCTAGGCAACTTTTTTCCCAGCTCGTCGTTCTGCTAACCTTTGACCATTGACAGTACTTCCCGACCGCTCCGCTTCGATAAATGACTTTGTAAGAATGCGCTCATAGTTGTCTTTCACCGGAGACTTTGGTGGTTTCTTCAGGGCAGCCAGAGTACGCTTCGCTTTTACCAGATCTATCTTCTCCTCTGGAGGTGGATTTTTCTTTGCTTTCACCCCTTCAAAGAAGTTGGTCACTTCGGCTTACATGATCTTCGCGTTTTCCTCCTCGCTCCTCTCGTATGGTAACTTCTCTGGAGTCTTCAGAGAAGGATCATATCTGTATTGCCTGCCTATGGCTGTACTGCTAGATGCCTGATACGTCTCCAACGTATCTATAATTTTTGATTGCTCCATGCTACTTTATCTACTGTTTTAGGTAATATTGGGCTTTATTTTCCACTTCTATAATATTTTTGGGACTAACCTGTTAACCGGAGGCCCAGCCCAGATTTGCTGTTTCATGCCTATTTCAGTGTTTCGAGGAAAAGGAATATCAGACGGAGTCAAAACGCAACGAAATCAACTAGAGAAGTTATTTTTGGAAGGAAAGCCACCGGATAGACTTGGACTCTACGTCAGAAGATACGGGAGCTGGCCAGGTGGGTGGGGGGCGCGCCCCCCTGGGCACGCCCCCTGCCTCGTGGGGCCCTCGTAGCTCCACCGACGTACTCCCTGCACCCATATATACCTACGTATCATAAAACTTTCAGAACAGAAGATAGATCGGGAGTCCCGCCGCCGCAAGCCTCTGTAGCCACCAAAAACCTCTCGGGAGCCCGTTCCGGCACCCCGCCGGAGGGGGATCCCATCACCGGTGGCCATCTTCATCATCCCGGTGCTATCCATGACAAGGAGGGAGTAGTTGACCCTCGGGGCTGAGGGTATGTACCAGTAGCTATGTGTTTGATCTCTCTCTCTCTCTCTCTCTCTCCTGTTCTCTCTTGTGTTTCCTCTATGGCACGATCTTGATGTATCCAGAGCTTTGCTATTGTAGTTGGATCTTATGATGTTTCTCCCCCTCTACTCTCTTGTGATGAATTGAGTTTCCCCTTTGAAGTTATCTTATCGGATTGAGTCTTTTATGAGAACACTTGATGTATGTCTTGCGATCCACTTGATGTATGTTTTGGTGATCAACTTGCGGGTTTCGTGACATTGGGAACCTATGCATAGGGGTTGGAACACGTTCTTGACTCTCCGGTAGAAACTTTGGGGCACTATTTGAAGTACTTTTATGTTGGTTGGATGAATCTGAGATTGTGTGATGCATATCGTATAATCATGCCCACGGATACTTGAGGTAACAATGGAGTATCTAGGTGACATTAGGGTTTTGGTTGATTTGTGTCTTAAGGTGTTATTCTAGTACGAACTCTTTTATAGATCGATCCGAAAGAATAACTTTGAGGTGGTTTCGTACCCTACCATAATATCTAAGTTTGTTCTCCGCTATTAGTGGCTTTGGAGTGACTCTTTGTTGCATGTTGAGGGCTTGTTATATGATCTATCTATGTTATTATTGTTGAGAGAACTTGCACTAGTGAAAGTATGAACCCTAGGCCTTGTTTCCTATCATTGCAATACCGTTTACGCTCACTTTTACCACTTCCTACCTTGCTGTTTTTATTATTTCAGATTACAAATACCTTTATCTACTATCTATTTTGCACTTGTATCACCATCTCTTCGCCGAACTAGTGCACCTATACAATTTACCATTGTGTTGGGTGTGTTGGGGACACAAGAGACTCTTTGTTATTTGGTTGCAGGGTTGCTTGAGAGAGACCATCTTCATCGTACGCCTCCTACGGATTGATAAACCTTAGTTCATCCACTTGAGGGAAATTTGCTACTGTCCTACAAACCTATGCACTTGCAGGCCCAACAAAGTCTACAAGAAGAAGGTTGTGTAGTAGACATCAAGCTCTTTTCTGGCGTCGTTGCCGGGGAGGTTAGTGCTTGAAGGTATATCTTTAGATCTTGCAATCGAATCTTTTTGTTTCTTGTTTTAGCACTAGTTTAGTTTATAAAAGAAAACTACCAAAAAATGGAGTTAAGTTTGTCTCATACGCTTCGTCTTTTTAATATCTTTCGTGAGAATGATGGAAAGGAAAATTGTGCTCAAGTGCTAGAAGAAGAATTACATAGATTGCTTGGCATAAAATATGTGAATGATGAGCATGATTGCAATGTTGTTAGTATGAATTTCCTGAATACCCATGATGCTAATGATATGCAAAGCCACAAGCTTGGGGAAGCTATGTTTGATGAATATGATAATTTTTGTCCCCCAAGCTTTGATGAGAAAATTTACTATGATGAAAGCATGCCTCCTATCTATGATGATTATTGTGATGACAC